TTGTATATCGGATACAACACGGACACTCATACTGTATATACTATAAATTACATAAAACACTCTATGACATGAAAAAACATGGTATATAAAACACTGTATGACATGAAAAAACATGGTATATAAACAAAGTATGACATGAAAGACATGGTATATAGAACACTGTATGACATGAAAAAACATGTATATAAAACACTGTATGACATGAAAAAATGCCGAATACGAAACCAAGGCTATATTTTGTTCCTACATATATTGATAGCATGTTATGATTCGGTAAGCATATTATTTTATATGGTATATTCCGGAGAGTACCACAAATCCCTAATTTGAAGTTTACCGAGGGTGAGCCGTCTGACCTTCATTGGTGTGTCGGTGTTCAAAGGGAGGGGGCGGCGTGAGTATGATTCAGTAACAATGGGTTTGCGTTTTTATAATTCCCAATTGTATAACTGCTCTTCTTGAATCCCACTCAATTTTAATTTCCTTTCACATGCAGTGGAAATAAAACTACCAAGAACGACCCCCAAGAGTTACTAAGCTCAAATTATTGAATTCCTTCAGTTTAGGTCCTCTGTAGGGCACTGGTTAACGATACCACCTGCCACATTAAGGGCGGATCCAGGGTTTTTTGAAGGGGGGGTCTCAGGGGTAAATTTTGTGGGCTAAGGAATCCCAGTCGCATTCTTACCACAGGAAGCCCATTTGACCTCAGGAATGACAGGGGGGTCGCGACCCCCCCGACCCTCCCCCTGGATCCGCCCTTGCACATGACAATTGATTCAAGAACAAAAGAGTTTCGTTTTAATGCGTCATGATAGCAAAGCTGAGTTTTGACGACTCATCTCTTGTCACGTTGTCTGTCATTCTTCGCGCATCTCTATCAACTATGTTTTGATGAGCTGAGCTAGTAGAACAGAGTACGATTGTCCAATCAGAAACATGCACTACTTTTTCTCATCTTTCGCTTTCTTTACTTTAAACACCGTCTTCTGAAAGTGTATGAGAATTCGTTCGGCTTTTTTAGCGATCAGATGGGGTCCGATGTTTTCAAGGCAGTATACTAGCTACAGTAGATCCCTCTTGGAAGCGAGACTTACAGAAAAAGACAAAAGAAATCACACTTTTCTCGATTGGATTCTTGCCATATTTCTTTTGCATTTTCCTTTTCGTATTTTTGAGGTGTCTATATCAATACTATACTAGTCTACAAGAGTGTCTGTGTTATCTATATCAATACTCTACTAGTCTACAAGAGTGTCTGTGTTATCTATATCAATACTATACTAGTCTACAAGAGTGTCTGTGTAAGAGTGAAGTCACTAAACCCGTGCAATAGATCAGACTAATACACATTAATAGACCATAATTGACTAGTATATTCAATTTATTTTTTAAATTTAATGCCTGACAATTATTTCGTATTTCAAGGGTTTTAAAGATGCCTTCACTTTATAAGATAACACTATTAGAGTGAAGTCATTAAACCCGTGCAATAGTTATTAGACTAACACACTATACTTTAGTAAACCTTAATTCCATTGTTTTTTGTGTGTGTCCATTTGACTACACGTTGACTAATATCTTTTATTTTACGGGTTAATTGCCTTCACTCTATCATACTTACTGCTAGACGACACCATAGACTACCATTACGACTACTACAAATACTAGCCTATTAAATTGCGAAAACAAACGTAATTGCGCTTCTGACGGACTTTACAGACGGAAAGAAAACGGAGCATTGGACATGACAAACCTGCTACGTGAAGACAAAATATCATGGCTTTAGTCGTAAAGTGTGGTGTACTCGTGCTGAATAATCAACTCGAACCAAGACACAGCGGAATAAGCTTTATGACCATTCGAAACTATCATGCTAACCGACATAAGTGTACAACAATACAGTGACGACTTTTATTCGTAGTGGTAAAGTGATATATAACCTAAGATGGACTGGGGTTTCTAAATGTGGTATATAAACTAACAAAAGGCAGGCAAAGGAATATTCAAATCTAACGCTACTGTTAAAAGTGGTTTAAAAATAAACCGATAAAACATGATATATTTTATTGAAGTTAGGTTGAACTTCAGTAGGGATGTTATGTTATAAGAGGAAAACACTTAAACCTTTTTAATACTTATTTTAGACTGAGACTAAATTGCAGCGTGGTCAGTATAGCGAGATGTCTCTGTTCAAAAGCCACGTAATCACCCACAATGGCCAAGGCTATTCCAGCTAGTGATTGTGATCTTCAAAAGTTATCGTTTAAAAAGAACAGCTTTTCGACAGCCCGGCTGTCATAAACTGATTAATGTTCGCGTAGAAAACGGGCAAAGTCCTCTTATGACTATATCAAATATTTGCTCTCTCATATATTCAAAATGATTTATATTTAAAATATTGTAATTAAGTCATTGGCGTACAAATCTGATTGGCGGAAAGAAATGTGAAACATATTAAAACGTTTTTCTAATTTGCTATGGAAGGTGATTGATTAGAAAAACGCGAGTAATGTCATTTGAATGATCTCTCTCCCATCTGTGGTGGTGCTTGAGTATGATAAGGGTCTACAGAGGAACTAAGAGATAAAATTGGAATATTACTGAGAAAACCGTACGGAAGATCAACGAAACTTCCTTTACAACTTCCTTGAATGTAATTGAGTGAGCTCATAAAAGTTAAGAATAATCTTCCCAAGGCTTTCAGACTCCTCACACAGTCAGGAAAATGAGAAGTCAGATATCGGATTAAATTTGATTTGAATTTTCCGTCCATTTAGGAAACTTCACGTGTACCAAATGTCGTCACTTCTCATTCACACCTGATGTGAAATCTTGATAGATCACACTTGTTGTTTAAGAGCTTTTTAATACTCATCTTAGTGCCGGACTGATTGATTGGGTTCTGCAAACCTAAAATGGTCGATTATACGTACTTATTCTTTTGTCGAAGTACTTTACTAATATCGAGCCCAACCCTTACGTGTTCAGTAGCATGTTCACTGATCTTAGAGAAACTGTCGGTTTATATCAAAAAAGCAAAAATCATGTTATTCTTCCTAGAATTCGGTCGGTGGGACTGGAATCCTACTCAGTAAATAGATACAAAACTGAGAACGCGCGCGAGACTTCGTAACATTAGTATGTAACATTTATAAATGAATTCAATGCTTAAACTATATCACTGATGTACGGGGCGGGTCATTCGTTATCAATTTGGCTAATTTCTATAAGATTTCCGCCCAAGAAATTAATTCTTATTTGAATAATGAATCTTTCCCATTTCTAAAAGATCAGTTTTAAGATATTAATTTGGAAAGTGTAATTGGCTCAGTTTGTGAATCCCAAAGTTCATTAATTGCACTGGCTAATTGCATTTTAGACTAGCTTATCGTTTTTAACTAGAGCAGGTTTTTCACAGATGCCATTAACGCTTTCTTTCACGTGTTGTGTTGGAAACCCCGGACGCGAAAGAAAACAGCAGCTATAAAGATACCGACTGCCTTGAGGGCCAAATGGAAAGGAATAAGACTAGGAAGTTACGCGCCGAAACCGGTTCTGATTTCCATCTAATGTTTGAGATCTAAATCAGCACTTGAATTCGCTTCTTTTGAAAGAGTAATCGGCCACGCTGCTCGATCGACACATCACCGACAGTGTTTGAGCTCGGAATTTGTGAACTCATATAACGTTACAATTGAAACTAATAACGCAAATATAGGATGTTTTTTCATAATTGGTTATGCTTAGACAGGCGTCTAGTAAGCTTCTTTAGCGCTCTGTAAAGAGAAATGATCTTCCTATAGAAAATGTCTTCGCACGGCATGATAGGCGCGTGGGCTGTCCCGGCTTCATAAAAGTCGTACAACAGTTTACGCGCGAAGCGAGAGTAGTTGTTATGGCAAACCAGAACGTCAACCGACTCAACCAAGTTTAATTTAGTTTATAATTCAGTGGAGTAACAGTAATGTTTAAACCACGGGCATAGAGATACGACTGTAATACCTAATAACTGTCGTTGTTTCTTTAGTTCAACAAGAACTTCTTGTTGAAGAAAAGAAAGAGTGATTGTTATTTCCTTTAGTCACCATAGAGGAGAAAAGCTACAACAAGTCGCTCTCAACGCTATTCCGAGAACATGACCATCGAGTATAGAACAAGAGACAATCAAAATATCCACCAATACTTTTGGTATTTCTTTCTTTCTGTCTCGAGATCACTATATAGAACTATATACGACTACAATATATGATAAACTAACCGGCAAAGACAAAATGTATTGCCTATTCATTAAACGGAATTAGGAAGTATTAATCTGGGCGTCTTCACCTGCCTTTTCAAATTGATCAAGTAATTATGATTTTGAGAAAAAGAAAGAAAAAAGAGGAACGAAAATGAAATCAGCTTTTTGGATTTGTATAACAGAGAAGTGATCCAAATGACGATAGATGTAGGCGATAGATCGATATGACAAGTTTAGTGTTCAATCTAAATGAACAGCTTCTTTGTGCTGTCAAAATTCAAGTCAATTTAGTTTACGAATGATTTTGATAACGCAATGCAATTAAACATTGTAGTTGTCGATTCTTTATAATCAAAAAGTCTTTGTTCCTTGCAGCCAGGTGAAGATCGTTTTTTTCCGGCCCCTGATGGTTGGTGGCTGGGCTTAGAGGCACTTATAACTGGCGTCTAGATACAACGGCCGACAGACCACCACTGAGAAGAGCGTGTATATATATACTGGACGAATTATATGGATTTGGTGGTATAGCATTAGAAAGGTAAAGACGTCGGGCTACTGTACGCAATAAACAATCATTGCTGTGTTCTCAGAAGAAGACAAAGGCTCCAGTCAAGGTAAAATACGTCAGTATTGTTCATCGTTCTTGAAGATGGTATCTTATTACACGTTTGATCAAATTCATATAATCGTCAAAAAGGAAACGTATACAGTTTGACATATAGAACAAAGACTACCTTAACATCTCATCTAGTGAAAGAGCTGGAATGACGAAAGAAGAACGCGAGAAAGAGAGAGAAAGATATTTTCAGTAGGCCGAAGATCTTCATTCTAAAAAAAAAAAGTCGATTTAAACTTCTTTATTCCAGGGTGTAACAAAAACGATTTATATCGAGATCTTTAATCACAGATATTGTTTTTCACAAGTTTTTATCGTCATTGCTGTGCGTACACTCGACACCATTTTATATTACTTTATATAACCTGTACTTATTGTACACCGTGTTCAACAGCACATTTTATAAACTCATACCTTTTTGTTTGGTAAACGTTGTTAACGCTGATTTTTTCTTCTTCTCTTTATTTTATTTTTTCGCCCATAATTACTACCGTTGGATTTTTGTTGTTGAAAAGAATTATAAATGAAATTTGAATTAAGGAAAGCCAATAGTTTTGAAGAAAATCGAGGAAAGTACATTTGTCATTATTAGAAAATCCTCATTTTCGTTTCCGCTTTAGTTTTTTGAATGAAGTTTTGCGCAAAAAATGCCCAGTTTAGTAACATTGTTTTTCGATGGTTAGAGCCATTTAGCGGGAAGAGTAAAGTCGATATTATAAACTAAGGTAATAATCACCAGTGCGTGGACTGAAATCCTTTTGAAAAAGACCGTTGTATATTAGAGATATTAAGATATTAAGACTAAGACGTTTACCGGAAACTTAAAAACCGGCGTGCATGCATACTCGGGGCGATATGACAGCAAAAGAAAAACCCGTCACCCATATAAGACAACTAAATCAGATTGATCAGTTTACGTTTGATACTGAGTGAGCGAGCATTCAATCAAGACAGATTTCAGTGCCCGGAACGAAACGGTTGTAGTTTAAGTCACTTGCATCGCCTTTTCTATTCTTTGTGTTTTCAAGCATTTTTATTCGTTTTTGCTTTGATGGACACAGATAAATTGATGGAAATCTTTGTCTTTGTCTTAGGATCAGACTAGCATGTTGTAAGCTACTTGTAAGCTACGTTCAAATTATTTAATCTGCGGATGCATGTATAAATATATGTACTTATTATACAACTATTCAAGTAAGAGTACAAATAACACAGGAGAAAGCCTGGAGCGAGTACAAATATCCTGCGATAATCGTACTTTAGGTTATTTTGTACAGTAAAAAACCGGTTTTGAAAACTCGTTTTAAAAAATCGTTTCGAAGCCTCTTCTTTGGGAAAAAGTAAGCTCAGTTGGATAATCAATAACTTATAAGACATCATTTACGGGGGACATCTATTAAGATCTATATATCCCGGCGTTAAGACAGGACTGAAATCTCGCCACCAATAATTAACATTTTCATGGAAATTTTTCCTATGTCGTGACTTGCTTTTGATGTTGTTAAGCAAATGTTTCTGGAAAGCGGGCGGGGTCACTAGTGAAGTCAAGGGGTTATATATTATCATTCTCAAAACAAGGCTTAGTTGAGAATACTAAACAACTCTAGGCATTTAGTCGCATCGTTATCACAAATGATCAGCAAATTGAAGGATAATTTAAAAGCAAGGCTTTTTAAGGTAAAGTGAAACAATATGAAGCATCAACTACGTTTAACGGTAAAATCGCTAATTATCCACAGATCATCTTCACTTTCTCGCTTCTCGACCACAAGGACTTCTCGTTAATTTGAGGAAAGTTTGATTGAATAAACGAGAAACTCCATGAATTATGGTGAAGTTGAATCTGCTTTGTATCCGGTATTATGCCATGTGTTCTTAAGTACACATATCCTTATTATAATACTGTGTTTTGTCGTTAATAATCACAAGCTAAATATCACAAGAACTCGTTTTAATTAGAGTCTGAACAGAGGAAATGTCCCTTGTTAGAATTCAGCCCTCAATTTAATTTTTGAATAAAATTTCCGATATAAAAAGCACTGAACATTAGAGTAGAAATGGTATAGCCTGGTGAATGAAACTTTTGTTAGGGAATTTCGTACGTTGTGTTTCCACTGAAAAAAATAATGAATGAAAAAATGCATTGAAAGTGTGGATGACTGGGATGTTATTTGTTAGGTAACGCAGTTCATACAAGGCAGTATTTACGTAATTAGCGTTACTCGAGAAAAACACTTTCAGAAAAAGTCTTTCAGCCAAAGTTTGATCTAAAGTGAAATCTAAAATTAAAACTAAAATTGCGTTATTCTTGAATAAAGTGAAGTTGTTCATAAATGAAACCGAGACGCAATGTAGTAACGAGGAAAGGGATGGTTGACTAGTGCAGATTACGAGCGAGATTTTTTTACCTTCTAGAAAACGAAAAAACAAAATCTGATGAAGAGAAAAAGAGAGAGAGAGAAAGAGAGAAGAACAATAAAGAAAAAAGAAAAAAGAAAAAAGGAAAGAAAGGTGAAAGAGAAAGAATCCTGAAAAAAAAAGAAAAAAAAAAAGAAAAGAAAAAAAGCAAGAGAGGGAAAAAGAGAGAAAGAAAAAACGATTTCTTGGTCTGTCTAACTCGATCCAACCCTGTACATGATATAACTTAAAAAAAATACAAATCCAATAAATATGTTTCCACTCCAGTTTTTCTCAGTCTTTGCGCAACGAAACTTGGTCACTGCAGACTTCATGCACAATCAGAGCCCGTGTCTTTACTTCCTCAGCATTACGATCAAAACAACTTACATCTGTAATAGCGTGGTGAGGGTTGGTTTTCTGTTAGTTAATTTACTATTTGAACAGCTTTGTTCTTATTTATTTATTTATTTTGCTGCAATTGCTGATATTTGTCTGAGGATTCCATTCCTGGCTTTTCTTATTGTTCCACAACAATCTGCCAGTGGCTAGTTGAATCGCGTTATTAAATTTCCTAACAGCAACTACAATAGGTGGTATTTATCCCAAATCTTTCTCCACCCACGATTAATTGCTGACATGTTTTCTCAGATCTTTTGTTTCAACTTCAACGATTGCGTCCATTACTGATTTTACGGAAAGTGGGAGGTCGATGGAATTCTTCGTTTTCCGGCACTTTCAACCATGTTTATAAGTCAAAGACATTTTGTTCCTTTTCTTTATTGTTTGACGTTGTTTTAGGCGTGGGGATTGAATTTTAGAACTATTAGATAGATGAATAAACTGGAATCCAAAAAACGTCCAAAAAAAAAAAAAAAAAAAAACGTCGGTAAGTTTTTTCATCTTTTCACGGTGTATAATTTACCTTTTTATCATTACTGGAATCCAATCAGCGCGGTAAACTTCAAGCGATAGATGCCGAAAAGGACTTCTTAGCATGAAGTGATAAATGACTGTAAATTTTGCAGTTTGATACAATATAACATTAATTTGAGACCGTTAGGATCGCGACAAGAACCACGAAATACATTCTAGCAATATCCCAAAGCACTTGATACAATATACTTAAAACTGATGCAGTTATATTGAATCGATAAAATAATATTGCATGAGGAAGGTCTGTGAGAGATCATTATCGAGTTCCATCAGAGAGCTCAGAATGAGTTGCGCCATTGCGCGGATTACTTCAAGATACATCAACTTCTTTCACTAAGGATTTTTCAAAATCATCCGATGCAGCCGATTTTTCAATATCTTTACCATGACCATCGTCATGATGCCATTAAAAATGTTTATCTTAAAATTATATATTTATCTATTTATACAGTAAGTTTCACTTTTAGAAACCATTACATATGATAAACACTCAGATTTCATTAAGTATCTGCACGATTAGTCATCTAGTAATACAGTCAATACAGTAACGGTTTACTAGGGAAGCAGACTTCAAGAGTTTACTTCCGCGAGCCCGCCAGGACCCAAGACGTATTCATTTTAAAAAGTAAGACTTTCGATTTTTTTAAATAGAAAGCATTCAACTACATGGATTTATTGGCATACTAAAACTCTTACTTTCCACCACAAAAACAATATTTTTCTTGCAGTCCGAAAAAAGAAAAATGCGCGCCTCGGTAGATGTTTTGAATGGAGTTATTTCCACATTGATTACACAATTTATCTATGTATGGGAAATGACGTTAATTTATAACAGTTTGAAACTGCAAAATCGTTCCTTTAGAAAATGTAATTGGATTCATAAAAATGTTTAAACGAACTTGATTTTCTTAATAGGAAAACATTCGGTCTTTTACGCAAGACTGCTAATCAAAATAAGTGACGATATCATGAAGTTGTTATGTCTTATCGCAGTAATTTCACCATCAGTGATTACCAAATTCCGTCTTTCAAAACTGTTAGTACTATCATTAGCTTCGTACTTCGACGTCACGATAAAAATACTAAATTTTGAGAAAAACAGAATTTCAAAACTGTTGCCGGTTCTAAAAACAAATCATGATTGCGGGCGGATTGAGACGTCAGAGTTAAAAAATGAAGGTTTTTAGAAATAGAATCTCGAGAAAAACATGATCGTAGAGAGAAGCCTGTATGCTCGTGTATCGGTAAAAAATACTTAGTGAAATCCAGTGTTCCCTTAGCTCATGATGGATTTATAAGGCAAGATTAACGCGGGTTGCATTTTGTAGAGCATTACGATGAATGATGTATGGGGAGTATTCATATATGGGGAGTATTTATATATATTATTAGAAAGGGGTTGAGCGATGGGAGAAATCTAGGAAATGGCATTTTACATAACCAAGAATGTAAGATCACTGAGTGGAATTAATTTTCTTTCGAACCAAAATTATGCCCTTTAAAAAAGACTGTAAGAACGATGAAAAGTTTTGAATTGTAGCTGTCAGTCCATTCAGATTCCTTCAGTCCAGAGTCGGTTTTGTTGACTGACTCTAAAACAGCCTCTAGGCTGATCAGTAAGTCAGGGCTAGCTCACAGATCGAATTAGAATTTATCTTGTTAGGT